CCCCAAAACCCCAAAACCCCAAAACCCCAAAACCCCTTTCAGCTCACTTTTAGATGAAAGATATAATATTTTAAAAATGAATGCGGAAAGCCAATCAAAATATCACAGTTGTGATGAGATTGAAGAGACTGGTGTGGAATTTAAGAGGGAAGAGCAAAAGAAAGAGCAAGAGAAATCGAAGTATTGGGTCTTGACTGCTTTGATAGCAGGGATCTGATTTGGAACGTGAAACATCTTTTTGGGCAAAGTCTCTCATTTTGGGATTTATAGTAGAGAGGTGGTATCAGTAGGTGCACTAGCGTTTAGTGCTGGTTATTTTATTGTGCAAGGATTATATAATTTGGCTTGAAGGTAAGTGAGATACTAGATCAGTGATGTAACCTCTTTAGAACTTCCACCAATCAGCATGAAGATACATCACCATCTGTCTATAATAGAGAGATAGGTCAAATTAATTGGATCTACTGCTTTTGAATCATAGCAGATGGCGTTTTAACATTTTTGAACGGAGTATTAATCATCATTTCATATAAACTTGCACTTTATGGAAATTTAAATCAGGGTCTGATCACTGCATTATTTGCTTTAACATCTGTATATTTGGCTGTTTTTTCTTGGAAATTTTATGATCAAGATATTACCTTTTTCCATGTACTTGGGATGCTGTTTCTAGTAGCTTGAGCTTTGCTGATCTCATTTTCCAAGAAAGCCACTCAAGGAGCTGTTGTCGAAGTTTACGGTGAAATAATTCCTGAAATCTCTCCGGTTTGGGGTGTTCTTGTTGGGATCCTATGTACTTCTCTGTTCTTCTGCAGGACCATCCTCATAAAAGAGTATCACAGGAGGTTCAAAGTCGACCCAATGAAGCTAACAGTGCACTCGTATATCTTTCAAGGTGTAATCATGGTAATAGTAGTTTTTAGCCAGGAGTTGGCTTCAGGAGATGTAATGAGGGACAATCTTTTGGCAGGAGGCTTTGGGTTTTTAGGAAACACATTTATAAACCACGCTACAACAAAAGGATACGCTGGTCCAGCTGCAGCCCTTGCAAACATACAAATAATCATCCAGGTAGTCTTTAACGCTGCTGTCTTTCAACAAGTACCCAATGGAATGCAGGTTGTGGCCTGAATCTGCGGAATCTGTGGGTCATTATCCATCACCATCGGTATCTCAGTATGGAAAATGCTCTTCAAAAGAGCTTCATAATCTTTCAATTGTGGCTCTTCCTCTAGGGGTTTTGGGGTTTTGGGGTTTTGGGGTTTTGGGG